CCCACACGCCACATCCCCGCGCGCGCGCCCAGGTGCACGTTCACCACGTGCACCCCGTGCACGAGGTGCATACCGCCTACGAGTTAGCGCGGGGCACGAACTGGGCGCACTGGGCGTTCCTCACGTGGGATCAGATGTGCGCCGGATGGGCGACATATCATTCACGCTTTGCGAAGCTCCCAATCGCCTTTCATCCCCCCCCCATCCGTGTGTCATCATCGCCCCCCGCTTCCTCCTCGTCCTCCGTCGGTCCTCGTCGTCTCCTCCTCCTTGGCCACGGCCTCGTCGCCCTCCTGCCCCGTGCTCCTCGCCCCTCTCCTCCAAGCGATGTTTTCTTGGAGGTCGTCTCTGGGAGATCGGGCCCCGCAGGGCCCGGATCCGCGCCACGGGGCGTCGACCCCTGGCCCCGTTCCTAGCTATGTCCAGGGCGAAGGGAATCGCGCGCAGAGGCTGAACCACTGTTCGGCAATGGGGCGCCTCTACGCCGCTAAGGCCTCAAGGGCCGGTGGGATTACACGGAGGACTTCCAGTCCGTGTTCTTTCACGATGAGAGAACGGGGCAGTCGCAGTGGCATCCCCCTCAAGGGGACGACGGCAGCGCAGGCGGCCCGTGAGATGCCCTCCGCATCCGCAGTCGCAGGGGCGGCAGGAGGATGAGACGGCGGCAGGGGGCGTGGGGGAGGGGAGACGGGGGAGGGCAGGAGTAGGAGGAGGAGGAGGTGGCGGCGGCAGAGGAGGAGGAGGAGGACGACGAGGATCCTCTGCCAAGCCCGTTGGCCAATTTAACGCTAGCGCCAGGAACGTTCACCTGCAGCGGACTGTGCCCAGTGCTCTGTAGGGATATCGCGGCGACCCTGTGTCTTGCTCGCCTCCTCGCTTCTAATATACCACCTCCTCGGCCCCCCAGTGCCCGGTCGTGCTCATCGCTCTCCAGTCCGTGCCTACCTCCCTGGCCACGCACTCTTCCCGCTACCCTACGTGCGCATCGATGCATTCCCTGCTGCATTCCCCCCCCCCCACCCCCCCCCCTTCCTCCTCCGCGCTTTGCTTCCTAGACGCTGCGCGGCACCTCCTCTAGGTCACCGAGGTGCCGCGCTGGAATCGCGTCGGGGGACGCCGGCGCTGTTCGACTGAGCAGCCTGTCACATCGCAAGAAAACGAGCGCGTTGAGGAAGTAAAGCGCGGAGGGGGAGAGGGGGGGGGGGTGGGTCCACCCCATCGTTTGCCAGGGGTCTGGCATGATGGAATCCAAGGGCGCCCATGGGCGCCCAGGGGTCCTGGGGCGCCTAGAGGCTGTCGGATCATATCCTGGATCCTTTTCCTTCTTGTTATCGCCCCCCGCGGAGGTCCAGCCGAACCCGCTGGAGCTGTGCATCTCCAGGATGCACGACCAGCTGCCGCCGCAGTACGTGCCGTCGCTCATGGACGCGCTGGCGCAGGCGGGCGGCGAGCTTCGAGTCGGGACAGGCCAGTCCTGCTGGTGCCTTTTGATCATGCTGTAACTGCTGGCGCTCGTCCGCCTCTTGCCACGAGAAGGAGGGCGAGGAAGGGGGCGAGGAGAAGGTAGAGGACGGCAAGGAGGAGGAGGATGAGACAGATGCCGGCCACGCTCGCCCCCTCCTGTTCCTCCTGATCATCGCCTCCTCCTCGCTCTCCTCTCCTTCTCCCTCTCCCCCTCGCTCTCCTTTTCTTTTCCGCCACCTCCGCGTTCTCCCTTCTACTTGTTCGCCTCGCCGCCTGCTCCGCCTCCTCCTCACTCGCCTCTCCTTGCCACTGTCCAAGGCCTGGTCGCTGTCCCCCCCCGCCGTCGCCAGAGGCTTCAGCGGGAGCGACGTGTTCTGCAAGATCCTCGACGCATTCGCTGCCGAGTGGGCGTCGCGGTACGACAAGCCGTTCAGGTTTCGATCTGTGTTCCAGTGCGAGAAAGGCGTGTACCAGCAGCTCTTCCTGCAGAATGAGTTTCCAGAGACAGAGTTCCTCTTCGGCGACATGATCGAGCAGGGGCCTCGGCTGCCTCGAGGGTGGGCGGGTCTCTGCTCGCTGTCGCGGCGGCGGCATTGGCGGCGTCGATGCGGCGGCCGTGGCGCCCTCCTGGTGACATCGGCCGACAGCGGCGAGGGCGGCATCGACAGCGACTGCGATGGTGGGGTCGACGGCGACGGCGTGACGACGACGGCGTCGGCAGCGCCGACGGCAAGCGTTGGTAGTCGCCCATCGTCAGCACCCCAAGCCCCCCTCCCCTCCCCCCCCCACCCCCCCACCCCCCCCGCACTTCCCATCCGCGACAGCCGAGGCTCTCTCAGCCCCGCGCGTTTGACCTGAAGAGCGGGAAGCACGTCGTGGTGCCCGCCATAGACCTGTTCGCGGCAGGCTTCACCTGCACGACCAAGTCGAACCTGAATAGCGCGACACGTGGCCGCCGCCTGTCGCCGGTGCAGACTGGGGAGGGAGAGACAGGCAAAGCGTGGATGATGACAGCCAAGTACATCAGCCGCGCTAGACCAGCTCTTGTCGTGCTGGAGAACCTGACGGCGATGCTGAACGAAGCTGGCGACGGGAACTGCGCCGACGCGGTGGCGATCTGCGAGTTCCTTCGCGGATTGGGCTACAGCGCCCGCGCCCCGCCCTCGGCTGGGAGTTCGGAGGAGGCGGAGACGGAGGAGGGAGAGGGAGGATCACGAGGAGGCGGAGTGGGGGAGATGCGGAGGAGGGGGGATCGGAGGACGTCGAGAATCCAGCTCGGCTGCGCGCTGCGTCGATCCATGTGATGCGGCGCGGGTGCATGTTACATGCGATCACGCGTTGGATCTGCTGGGGGCACCCGACGTCTGCGACCTCGACCCTCCTACCCAATCCTTTCCTTTCCTACTACTTCTCATCCTCTTACCCTCCTCCTGCCTACTTTCCTACACGCCTCGTACCTCCCCCCCACTCCTCCCCCCAACCCCACCACCCCCGTTCCCACATCTCGCTGCGCTTCAGCCCCCACCCCCCCCCCCCCCCCCCCCCCCCCCGCGCCCCCGCCCCGCCCCGCCCCCGCCTCCGCATTCCCCTCCTCCACCTCGTCCTGGCACGCTTTGGCCCCCTCGTCGCATCGGCTGCGCTCGCCCGCGAGAGCCCAGGCCATGCGGGTGCAGGCCACGGAGTATGGCTCACGGGTGTCCCGTGCGCGCATGGCGCTGGTCGGCTTGATGGGCGACGCCAGCGGCGACGGGGTCCGTGCGCTGGAGGCGATCGCCCCGACGCTGAAGGTGCCCGCTGTTCCGTTGGAGCGTTTTTTCGACTGGCGTGAGATTCCAGTGTACATCGGCGACGAACCCCCGAAGGTGAAAAAGATGAAAGGCAGTTCGAATGCGCACATCGAGTACTTCGATCGCGCCGGCGTGCCCTACCCGCCGGACCTGTCCAAGTACCCCGTCGAGCTCGTGCTCATCCTTGCGCCGCTCACCCCATGCCAGACCGAGGTTCCTAGATGGAAACGTCGCCGTCGCGTCTCCTTGTCAGCGGCGCCCCTCAGACAGGGGCGACATGTTTTCTCGAGGCGCCTTGTGGATGATCGCCCCCGCCCCCCTCCCCCCCCCCCCCGCCCCACCCCCCGCCGCCCCGACCTGTGATTGAACAGTCGCCTGGGGCCGTCTTGGGGGCAGCTTGGGTGTGTTTGTTTGCTTTCGGGGCTGGTTAGCAACAGCCTTGAACCACGTCCTAGTCGGTTTTGGGCGCGCGTGCGTCGATGCTGCTGTGGCAGTGTGGTGCGGGCGCCCCAGGTGGCGCTGTACGGGGAGGAGTGCGACCCATGGCCGACGGTCCCGGGCCACTTCCAATGGGCCGACATAAACCTGTCGTTGAAATTCTGCCTGGGGGCCGACCTCAACGGCGCAGTGTTCAGGGACGCCATGCCGTGTCTGACAACGAAATCGGTTCTGCTCATGCGCGTCCTGACGGAGGACGGCGCCCGGCATTGGAGGCGCGCTGCATTGCCGCAGAGCAGGGGGGCAGCGAGGGTGCGGTGAGAGGGGCGTAGGCGCGCAGGCGGCGTAGCAGGCTGAGGAGGAGGGCGCAGCTGGGGGAGCCAGAGCGTTTGAATGATGTAGGGGAGGAGGAGGCGGAAGCGTAGGCGGAGGGACAGGGTTAAAGGGTGAATGCCGTGGCAGGGCGAACGAGCGGGCGGCGTGGGGGGGGGGCGAGGAGGTAGCGGATGATGTTCGCCAGCGCCCTTCCGCCATTGATGCTTTCTCCAGCCGCCCCAGTCGTTTGCCATTGGCCCGCTCCCCGAGTCGGTTGCTGCCCGCGTCGGTTGCTTTCGCCCGCGCCCGACGAGGCTGATCTCGGGGGAGTTGCTGCTGCGCCTCATCGGTTTCTTCGGGGCGGCGAGGGACCTCTCTGATGACACCGCTCGGCTCCTGGTGGGGAACGCATACAGTGCGTTCCCATTTGCGGCAGTGGCGCTCGCGGCCATCGCGGGTTTCGGGCGGCGCCGCTGAGCGCCGCCCCGAATCGAGCGCGATGGCGCGATGAGAGTGAGGGGGAGGGCGTGAAGGAAGGATAGGCCAGTCGGAGGATGACGAGGAGGAGGTTGATGAGGAGGAGGGCGAGGGGGAGGCGGTGGATGAGGACGAGGCCGTTCGCCATCAGCAGGCCGTGGTGTAATTCTGTTTTCCCAGCGCTGTTGACCTATGGGAGATTCAATTATACCACCCCCCAGGTCGCCGGCCCCCGCGTAGATGACTGGCGCTGTCTGGACGCGCCCCCCCCCTCGAGACACAAGCAGGGCTTGCGTCTGGCAGCGG